GAAATTACTCGAGACGATAGAATTGTGTAACTTTTTCATGACTGTTACAAATTAAAACCATCACAATTAAAATAGAATGTTATTTAGGATCCGAAAATTGCGTTTGATTATTTGAGATTCGGATCGAACAACAATGAATTGAAATTAGTATATCTAGGAAGAAAACGTATTTATTTCCTATCACTATATACTGGTTACTGTATTTTAAATGTTTCATTGCTATTTTTTATTGATTTTTAATTTAACATACTGAAACGCATTAAAACTTCGGCTCGCGAAAGACGTGATAAACATATTTTCGAATAAAAGAAGCCTCGATACCTCTATATATAGTGCTCATTCTCTACATCAGGCGTCAACTTCAGCTGCCAAAAAAGAAGGCGTTGATTTAGTTCTTTACGTTCGTCAGCTGGGGGGATAGAAATATCGTACATTTGCTAAATTTTATGATTTTAAGATAACTGTCTATATGAATAGTTTTGCTAACTCCATTATCAATTCTTAGATCTACCAATTGCATACGTCATGTAATAAATTAAGAATTAATATTTATATCGAAAATAATTATTGTCATTATCGAGTACGATTCAAGTGCAATAATTTATAAATTGGTAATCGCTGTAATTGTTTTAAACAGCTACGTGTTTGATCATGAGAAAAATATGCAATATACAATTATATGATTAAACAAACTTACTAGTAAGTAAAGTTCTATCATAATTGTATCTTATTCCATTATAACTTATCCAGATTTTGTTCCGTTGCCACGTTTGAAGTCTCAAGTAACCGTTATGTTTTAGTTACTTTGTTGTTGATGCTACAAGCTGGCACGATCAACATATTCACGTTTTAACTTTAATTTTTTACGTTTATGTTTGTCAATACAGATACATTTGATTTATTGTTAAAAAATCAGTGCTTATTAATTTCTTTTACGAGTTAACGTAACATTTTGAGGGCCCCGTCAGCTATATTTGAACGGTTAATGGAAAGATATACTTGGTTTAGTCGCAACAGTTCTAACGGAATACTGGAACTTCACTTATTGAAATTAGTTTCTCATCGTGCATAGTGAATTGTAACCACAGGAATATAATTGCTTAAGCTTTTCATTCGCGTTCCGACGTTATAGAACCTTAATCAGTTTTGTCTGAAACTACAGTTAATAAATTACGAGAATCACCTCTACATTTGTAAATATCGAATACAGACACACTTACTGTCGACCGAACCCAACCCTACAGATATTGCAGTCTTTTATCTGACATCATTTCCATGCGAGTAGATTGATTTTCTAAATAATCTGAAGCTTCTTCTTTTTCTCGCTTTGTTTTCCTTGTGAAAGTATAAGGTATACACAATGCATTAAACTTACTACATCTCTTTAAATATAAACTATGTAAAGATTGGCTACATATATGTGTAATGTTTTCCAAACAAACTCCATTGCAATTAGTGTACGTCAAACTAATTAGTTGTCTTTACATTCGTACTATTTACATTTGCTAACGATTGAACGGTTTACATATAACATCTATATTTTCAACCTCTTCTTCACTATTTCCATATCAATCAATTCAGTGTGCAAATTCTTCGATTTTACTTCAACATTCACAGTACATATGAATATTGCTTTAATGTAAATTTGTTTCGCTATCAGAGACTAAAAATTGATTAAGTCTACTTGACATCGAGACTTCAAGTGTGTCTCAATAATTGGCGTAATTATTATTCCTTTTATTAAATTTTTTTTATTTAACGCGCTTGGCGCACATTTTTTTAAATGTTTTTCTGTTATTTATTACATTATTTGAATCTTTTATAAATAAGCTTAAAGATTCTAATCGATACGAATAAGTCATGCTGTTTAAATTATACTGCATACATCAATGTTCATTAACGTATAAAAATATAATTTTCACCTGTTTTCACAAAAACCAATAAACTTTTCTCTTTTCAAGTGAAATTATTCAAAAGATTAATTCAACCTACGATCGATAAAGCTATTATACTATTATACAACACTAAACTTTACATACTCTGTAGTAGTTATTATGACTTCATTATTCATTTTCTTTCCCTTTCTACGAAATTTTCATGAGACAATATTCATTTTAGGATCACAGGTAGTTATAAAATTAACGATTTGTAAGGATAATTTAAAAACATTCACGTCTTATGTTCTCAGAACGATTTATTAACAGCATATTTCCATTCTTACACATTATTATTATCTTAATTGTTCATAAATTGAATTTACTGCTGAAATATAAGTCTCACTCTCTTAGATATATAATAAAAATATTTCAAAGTATATAAAAATTTAAACTTCAAAAAAAAATTCATACACAATACTTCGCTTATTTTTTAGCGACAACCAATCACAACGCTGCATGGCGGTGCGTTATCATTTATTTAAGATAGGATCACTTCTTATTTGCTAGAAAGATTCTACGTCGATTCTACGAGTCGATTCGAATTTTTTTAGTATGCGATATTTCTTCCTCCGTGAACACATGTCTTTTGAGTATTTTGTATTGGTGCTCTCAATTATTCACTTCTTTCCATACTTATAATATTGTAACGGAGAATCTCGGATAGACCGATTTCGTCCGTTTAGCTCTCACAAATGTCCGTGCGCCGCGCCAAGCTGAGAGTGTGTGCGTTTGGTACACACACTCATGCTTGGATTTTTTGTTTACGAGGTGCTGAACGCGGGCTAAGCTGACGACTGGAGCGATGCAGATGGCGCAGAAGAAGAAGAGAGAGAGAGAGAGAGATCGCTCGAATTGCGGATCGCCGCGGAAAATTCGGGAGAATCTCTGCTAAGCTATGAGCAGAGGAAGTCGCGCGCGCGGATAAAACCGAAAGGTCACGGTTTTTCAAGTTGGCTTCGCGACCTCGCCGACGTTTTGTTCGTTTTCGGAGACACGCCCGGTGCGCGGACGAGTAATAGAGCGTGAGGCTGGGTCGCGCCCAGCCGTGTCCCGAAAGATAGCCGGCACCGGTGCGCGTGGGTAACCGGCGAGGTGCATGGGTGAGCGCGCGAGGAATTGGACGTGTTGCAGCACCGAGCAACGAAGAGGCGGCAGAAACAACGGCAACAGCAATTCCTGGGAGATATGGATTGAGGCAGCAATATTGTGGAGCAAGCGGGAGGACGAGCGAGAAGACAAATAGCAACGACAACAAGCATCAGCGAGACGGTCAGCGAGGAACACACCAGTGACGTCACACTGAGGAGCGCTCTAGCCGTCAGAGAGGCTGAAGGTCGAGGTCGGTGCCGTGTTTTTCTCTTGATTCTCTCTCTCTTGCATGTTTGGGCGCCAGCTTATGGGTGGTAGAACGGCAGACCTGTTGGCTACCCGTTGATAGTTTAACGGCGGAAAGTGTTTGTCGGGCATTTATTGTAATATTTAGTTTTAACAAGGGGATCGGCAGGCTGACTAGCCACCGATTCACCTTCGCGTTCGCGTTTGTTATTGTGCCGCTCGTAGTGTATAAGTACGAGGTCACCGTATTGTAATCGATTGTTGACAAGTAAAAGACTAGTGTGTTAATCCGCTGTTGTGTTTATTCGCCGCTGCATCACTCCTCATCCCGACTTCGAATCTGTGCTTATGCTCGACGCGTTATTCAGTCGTGGGAACGTCTTTTCCTTCCCGAATCCCCGAATAAATAATTCGTGCGGACGGCCGCGAGTAACCTAGACGGATACGGCCGAAATCCACCGTTACAATTTCATAGTACTCAAGCAGCCGGTAACAATGAGTTTTTTATGTTCATCTAAATTCACGAGTTGAATTTCTTTCATCAATTAAGAAATGTTGCCTTTACTCAGAGAAATAAGCTTTTTTTTCCTTGCCTGCAATTTCTTTTCAAAAAGTACTTTCATTGTATCTTTTTTTCGATTGCTATCTTCTATGTGAAAAGGTGAAAGGACTATAAGACCGCTATTACTTTATATGAAAATAAATAGACGTCTCTTGTTTGATTGTGCGTTAGAGAATCACTGGACAATATAAGCACTAGCGCATATTGAAGATTTGCTTTCATGAATTATACCCTTTGACCGAAGTGCTTTCGTTATACAGAATGTCGACAAAATATATACTCGTAAAAATAATATAAGTATATTTTATACTTTGACTAGCTAGTGTAGGTATTGTAGAATACCGAATTATATATTTTACCAATAGCATATTCATATTTGAAAATTAATTAATTGTAATTTTACAATTTATGATTATTTGTTTGTCCTGCGCTTGTTTGGCTATACTTTGGATACTGTTAGAGTTATTGCTGTATTGAAAGACTAGATCATATTTTCTTCCGCCAATTTTTCTGTTTTTGCGTTTGCCTTGATACATCAATAGCCCATGGAGCATGTCTTTTATCTTTCTCCTACTCCAGTGTTTTTTTTCCTCTCTTTTAAATGGTTTAGCTGGTGGTGTTATTTTATTCAAGTTGCGAACGAGAACGCGCACCATCATTTCGCTATTCCCTAATGGCTGCTTTATCGTCATATGTCTTTGGACGAATCGAGTGTTCACCTGTGTTGACTTATATTTCAAACATGCCTTGATATGTACGGTTCTTGTTAGCGATTGGAAATCTATCTTATTTATAGATAAACATATTCTATCTATCACTGAATCTAGAACTTTATACATTCGATCACGTCGCATGAATACAATATCCTTTGACAACCATATGACTTTTCCACCCGCCGCATCTTTTCAGTGCTGTTATGCCAGCACCAGCGTCAGCGAGTGTAATTATGGAAGTTATCTGAGAAGAAAGGCCTGTTAATAGTTCAAGATTGCAAAATTTTAAATACTTTGTAATATTCAATATACCTAAAATTAGAGCAACTTATAAAAATTAATAAAAACTTTCTAAGTATTTTATAATATTCATATAATTAAAAAGTTTTATTTTATACATTAAAAAATGAATAGCAATTATCCAAAAATATTTTATTTCGTGTAGTTTATTAACCAACTTTACCACAACTACATAATAAAGTCTTACAGAGATAGAGATTCACACAAATACGCAGAGATATCAGAGAAAATAAAACCAAAACAAAACAAGTAAATGAGATTAAAAAAAATAATAACTAAATTTATGATAATTTTAGTACCTCTTCGGTGTTTAATATATTCATTTTCAGTAGATTATGTATGTTATTATGTAAATCATTAATGTATATTATAAATAACAATGGTCTAAGAATGTTTCTCGCGGTACATCAAGTAAGATTAGTTTCCCTTGGTTATCTTAGTTTCAGATATTTGATACTTAACGTATCGTTTTCGACCCATCAAGTAACTCTTAAACAGCTTATTTGCAAAAACTCAAATTCCATATCTTTCCAGTTTCCTAAATAATTTTTCATACTCGACAGAGTTGAACGCCTCAGCTAGATCTAGATATATCTCGATATAAAATGTAATGACATTTTAGAGGAGGTGAGGAGGCCATTAAAATGTAATTTGGACTCGATTGATAACAAAATATTTCTAAAAATAGCAAAATACTCTATTTTTAGTCATTTTTACATCATGTTTCTTGTGAAATTAGGAGCTCAAAGATTTATGAAAAAATGCGTACTCTTGGATGTTTATGGCTTAAATTTATCATTAGAAACAGTGATGTTCTTTGATTTCCAGTGAAGATTGCTCAATAAATTTGTTTATTCATTCTATCAGTAATAGTATAATCAAAACGTGACTACGGTAATCGGATAAATATTTATTTTTTATGTTATGCTTGTTAGAATGAGTAAAATACTTTTTTTTTATTACATTAACTTCAGTACTTGAAAAAATTATATTACAGTTTATATGTTTATGCATTTAAAAATACATCTTTGCAAATAAGCTGTTCTATATTTCTATAAATTACTCGTACAGTGTCTACATTAACAAAATAATGTTATTACCGTAAACCGAGATAAATTATAACAATTATTCTCGTGAACCTTTTTCTTTATAACGACTAATTTTACAAGATTTCTGATGCGATTATATGCATCAAGCAAAGTCCGGACGCGCTTGTCTCCACGCACAGAAGACAACGCACCTTACAGGGAATCGTGTGAGTTAGGTGCGAATCAAATGCACCAAACTCGATCGTCTGTGTCCTGTCGTTCGCAGAGAAAGAGAGACCTGATCTGATAGGGGGGCTGACGGTGGTCCAATGGCTGCAAACTCTCTATCGGTGAGCCCGGCTAGTTGTCGCCGCTTTCTCCTGGATGTAGTCCTGGTGCGCCTGCCTTACCTCTTTTCGCAGCCGCAAGACCAACCACATCCTGGCCAGTTTTCAGTGCCTCCAAGGCCTTTTTCGCCTCTATACGCTCTCGTCGCAGACGACCGCCACGCCTCTGCTTCTTCTTGCGAGGCTCAATCGTCCTCTCGTCCTTGGCCATGGCCTGTCCGTGTGCTTCAGCTGCGATAATCCGTAGCCGAGGCTCCGCTAGCGCGTCCATATGCATCACCAGAGGCTCCCTTGTGGCTCGAACAGTCTTCACTCGAGCGTTCAGGTACCTTGCGTAAGCCTCGGCACATCTCACACATCGGCTTACAGTCACGTCATATCGCCCACAATTGCGGCAGAATTTCCTCTGGTTCGCGGGTTCCGGGCACCTTGACCGATGATGAACGCCAGTCCTGCAGTTGAAGCAGGAAAAAGGTCTCACATCCAGTATCGGGTCAAAGGGCACTGGCTTCAACCCATTCAGGAAGGTTCCCGTGGATTGGCAGCCTCTGGCGTCAACTCCTATAATTTGCGGGGCTGGAACTCTCGCGGAAGATATAAGCAACAACGGGTACTGCAAGTTCTGCTTCGCTAAGTTCGCCTCCATAATTGTGTTTCTTCTAAGTCCGAATTGGGGTGAATTCGACCGGCATTGGGACGGCTCCTCTTTGCTCCTGTTCCAGGTCAACTGCCAATGGTTGGAAAAGATTTCCAAGACCGGCAAGGCTTCATCGGTCTCCTGGACCCACTTTTCCGATCGGAGCACTAATTTTGGCGAGTCATCCACAGAAGGCAGCGAGTTACCTGCCGCCGGAATGGACGACATCAAGACTTCTCGGCAAGGGCCAGCACGGGTGCCCGCCCCTTCCATCTTTTCAGAACGGGAAGGCGAAGCCTGCACCTCCAGAGCACGGGGGCACATCAAGCTACAAGATCGCCCGATCTCCATCTGTAAAATCGTAAAATCTTCTGTCAGTTAATAAAATAAAAGCAGACGAAGCTTCATCCGCGAGTCCAATGTATAAAATTCCAAAACTTCCTTAATCCTACTCTAAACCGGCGTTCAGTAGCCGCTCGTTGTTCACACCACGTGGCGGAAAATAACGCTTTAAATTCTTCCACGTGTGCCATTGGTATCTAATGATTATCATCAGTCTCTAGCTCGTATACCTCGTACGAGATTTTTTTTACTACTTTATACGGACCCACGTACTTGGGATCGAGCTTCGCGTTTCTACCCGCCATCGCTTTCGACAACGAATACTTCCTTCAACAGACTAAATCGCCTACACTAAATGTAACATGCCTCCAATCTTTATCGTACTCTCGTTTTTGTTTGTGCCTGCTCTAAATGATGACCTACCATATCTCGCAACGTATTCAGTCTTTGCAGTCGGTCCTGCCAAATTTCAGGCTTGATTTTTATCACGTGAGAACGCCGCTCTACTTCCCGTCTTAAATTATTCATCGGCTGGCGATTTCAGCCAAAGTTCAAATCACGCTGACCGTCTCAAACTCGCCAACCTCTGCCTTCTTCTCGAACTCACGCGAGAGTGCATCTGGAACATGGTGCAGAGCACCTTTTCTATACACAATCTCGACTACCTCAACTCGGACACTGCGAGCTCCTATGCCCTCGTGCTTCACACGAGCAACAGTTACCATTGAACGCGCCCAAGCTCGCTGCCGCGCTTTCGCCGCTCCGCTGCGCGCACCAATGCTGAGAAACAAAACTTGGCGGAACCAAAGTCTGCATCTGCGTTGAGCTCGGGTCTGCTGGGGCCACCAAGAATGCGGCGTCTTTCGCAGCTCTACCACCCCCTGCATCAGAGCTTGCCTCGCCTTCCTCGTCTCTTCGAAACTGCCAGTATTTCGTTCTCCGACGCATCACTAATCTTACGTGTCGATCGCTTGTTGGAGCGCCGGCCACCAGCCCTCTCCATCGGTACTACCTCCGCGCTCTGTTCAGTCTCTATTATCGCGGTCTTTGCCAGCTTTTTAAAGCGTCCCAACGAGCCCCTATAAGGCGCATCTGGAATGTAGCTGTCTGAATCTGATAACTCATCCTGGCTATTATCTTCCTCACTTGTCGACGGATCCTTTAGTCTAATTTTCGTTTTTGCTCCTTCCGCACGACAGTGTGGAAATCTGCTACGCGGCTCTGCGTTCTCAATCTTTACAACGCGACCTTCTCACCCGCAACTTCCTAACATGTCCCGAAATCATTCTTCCCAGTTCCTCATCAGCTTTCCTGATTCGCAAAACACAACCAGTGTGCTCGTCCTTATAATCGACTAACCGGGGGGCTCCCATTGCGGTGCCACCGCTCTCCTCATCCGAGAAAAATTCATCTTCCGATGCCGACGCGTGAGGGTTGTCTTCTCGTCGTCGATACAACGCTGAACGGGGCGACCGCTCATCCGGCACTTGCCTTCGCGGTGCCCGAACCGCCGTCAAGTTCTCATTTCCCAATCCGACTGCATTTCCAACGCGGCCTCTGCGACGCGATATATATTATTTGCAGTTTCGGATAAAGCCGGTCGCATCTTCTTGCGCATTACCAAGCCGGGTAAACTCACAAAAGCGTTCAAAACCTGACTATAAATATTGGAATTTGCCTTGAGACCATGAAACGCTACCTCCTCGTGAGGTGCTCGCTCTCTTTCCGTCCCGGTGGCAGCCGTCGTCTCGCCACCCGCCGCATTGCGCGAATCCTCCCGTTTGTCCAGCGCATTCAGTTCCGACCTGCTTTCTCGTACTGCAATCGGTTGTGATCTCTTATTTACCGCTACAGCACGCCATTGCCTGCGAATTGACGCAGGCTCAGTCTGACTGTCTGCTCGTCCGTCGCTCATCTCGCTCCTATTGATGTCCGAGTCCATATCAATCTCACGCGACTCCTCGCCCAATATGCCTTCAGATGGGCCTGATACAACGCCCGCTTCGAAGTCGCTAGGGTCCAGGGGCGGGTTCAGCTCCGGACGCTCGCGCGAAATCATAAAGCGTAACATGCGCTGCTGGAGCTCGCTACAGCTACCCGCGATACTCAACCAGTATTTTTTAAAAGGCCCATCAACTCCGCGGCCGGCGTCTCATTTATCCGACGTTTGAGAGCACGCACGCCCCTGTCCTTCATAATTTCGCGTGTTACCGCGACATGTCACGGCCCGCTCTACCCCCACTATACCTTGGACACACTACCAAACCGCGACGCTTTGGTGCAGGTCAAACCGACAACCGTACCGTGGGCTTCGTATTTCTTACTTATATTAAAACAAAAAGAACGTTGGTCCGTGTAAAAACGTTAGGTCGATGACTCACATACCCATGCCCAAGCGCAGCAACGATAACAACAACCATGCTTATTATGCTTTAGTTCTTTTTCTCTCTCACGCGAACGCACCGACAAGCCTCTTTCCGACTAGCACGCGGTTCTCTCGCTTACTGAGTCCGACCGGCGAAATGTAAACAAACAGCTCTCGAGCTCCGACTTAACGCAACTCAAATGACCGCTTGGTAACCTTATCTGTTCGCGATTTTATTTTCAAATACTTTTTTCTTTATGTTCTAAACCTTCCTAAACCCCAAATACTTTCAACAATGAAGTTGCATCCTGTCTCTCTCCTTGTGGCTTCTATCAATTCAATTTCCGCAGCTTCCCCACAAAGGATGCCATGTAGCACGTTCGTTGTTTTTATTTGTCGATTGATTTCACGATCTGCGTATCAAGACTAGCCCGGATAACTTTGCGTTATTAATTATTTAAAAGGAGAACGTAAGGGAGGCGCATTCGCTCCACCGTGTATGGCGTCAAGGGGCTTTCGTCGCCTATTCAACACTATAGCCGCAACTAAACGTCATAAAGAGAGAGAAGACAGAAGTCGACAATTATGACGATTATTTTCGTGAACTTTTTCCTTTATTATAACGATTAATTTTACGAGATTTTTGAAGCGATTATACCCATCAAGCAAAGGCCAGGCGTGCTTGTCTTCGTGCGAATGCACGCACAGAAGACTACGTGCTTTACAGGGAATCGTGTGAGTATGGTGCGAATCAAACGCACCAAACTCGGTCGTCCGTGTTCTGTCGTTCGCAGAGAGAGAAAGAAAAAATACCGGCTCACCGAAGAAAGAAAGAGGTACCTGACCTGACAGGAGGGCTGACGGTGATCCAACGGCTGCAACTCTATCGACTAGCTGTCACCGCCTGTAGCTGCAACGAAGTGATGGCCGCTGCTTTCTCAGATGTGGCGCTCCTCAACTCTACTGGCTTGAAGGTGTTTGTCGTTGATGTCGCTTCTCTCACTTCTTTATTTCTTCGTTTTTGTGATCACTGTCTCCGATACTAGTCAACCGCCAACTCTATCTGCGCTCGCTCGCTTCTCTCGCAACATACTCTCTCGTTCCCCACTCTATCGGCCTTACACGTCCGAGAGCCGCCGGCTACGCACGCGCCTGGCGACACTAACCGTCTCACTCTCTTTCCCAAGCAGCCCTATACGTCTAAGTGCCGTCGTCTACGCACGCATGTGCGGATCATGCTCGACGACGCTATCTGTCTTGCTCTCTCTCTCTCTCTCTCTCTCTCTCTCTCTACTTTGTCCTAGCATCAGCTCCATCATCGTCTCAGCCATGTTGTCTTACTCACCAATGCCGATTAGGAACGACGCTTGTAATAAAGCTACATCGAGCATCGGTACTCGGATCTGGCAACCAAGTCACCCGATGCGATAGCGATGGAGGGAAAAGGTACGCGGACGAGAGAGAGGCAAACAGGGCGAATAATCTCACCGATTGCTTAAACCGTCACAAATTTGATAATATTGAAAATATAATTTGATACATATTGACAAACTACAAAAACATTGAATGATGTTATTGAAATTGCTGTGAAAACCATGATTAAATTGTGACATGTCATAACACACCATAATATTTTTACAATAACTCAAATATATTTTTGCTTGTTAAACGAATCTTTTTATATTTTACCACACATGGAGCTAAAATACTGGAATCCTTTCTAAAACAGAGACAAAATAATTTACCGTATATCATTGAACGGTTAAAATTGATCGTTACGCTATTTAACGAGTTATTACCAGAAGAGATTTTTTGGCATTGCCCTAAAAAATAAAGCGTAGGGAAGAATCAAAGTGCTTCAGGGGAGCCTATATTTTAAGCCGATTAGAAAAAATCCGGGTCTCGTGGTAGGAGCTTTAATTTAAATAACTATGAATATCTGGTTCTATAAGTCAAATGTGAATTAACTTATTGATTGGGTCAAAAAAGAATCACATTTAAATATACAATAAAATAAGAGAAGTGATAGAAAAACTTTCGGTTAAAAATATTTGAAATAAGCATGTGATGAATCTTTAAGATGTCTGTTCAACTCCTTATCATATTCGTTATTGTTATTGAAAATAGTTAAATAGTAGCGAAAAGGGAACGTGGCCAGCCAACCCAATGACATACCTCGATATCGAGAAGGGAGTTTCATTTGTTATTACAAAAGGTATGAACATTTATTCGAACGAAAATTATTGGAACACGTACATTCGTTTTACACTTAAGTTTCCATTTTTTTCATGAAATAAATATTTTTTATTCATTTATACAATTTTAACATATATTAATACAAACATTTATAATGTTTCTGTTTAGAATACAATATTTTATACAATACTGCAATGCTTTTTGTAATGTCTTTAATGTTAACTGTACAGTTTAATACTCAATGAAAAAACGGCAATTTTAAAGAAATTCATGTTCTTCACGAAAAATGCGAGCATAAATAAAACGATAAGCTTTGTACTTAAAGTATTTAAATATTACTGGACGTAAAAATTCATTCTTCTCAGTAGAAAAAAATCGTTTTTTTTTTTTGAAATAACAGTCAGATAAATTAGATAATCTTAAAAGTACAAGCGGTTTTCCATCTAGACAAATGAAAAACATTAAAAATGTCATACATTGTACTGCTGGAAAAAAAGCCGTGCCTAAAAATTATCATGAGCATATGACTTAAAAAGCTGCATTTTTAAATAATTTATATAGATCTCGTAGTTTTAAATTTGATGTTGAAAAAGGTAATGCAAAAGAGGATTGAACTCTTATATTGACCAACATAGAAGAATTATAGAATTATAGAATTATAGAATTATAGACGCTATATTAAGTGAACGTCACATCATCGGATACTATATGTTGTAAAAATAATGACCGACGGTAGGGCAAGGTTTTTTCTAACTGTGCATGTGTGTGTCGATAATACCAGAACTTTTTATACAAGACAATAAAAATTGCACTGCTTCGAAATGATCAAACTTTTGTTCTACCAGAAAAAATAAAAAGCTAGCCAAGTATTGGCACAGTGTTGTATTATAAACGGAAACATTATAATTGTTTATATTAATGTACGTTCAATTTGTGTAAGTGAATAAAAAAAATTTGACATCGTGAAATTTCCATTTTATAAAAAAAATGGAAACTTGGGTGAAAAACGAGTATCCTTGCTCCGATGATTAGCATTCGAGTAAATTTTCATACCTTTTGTAATAACAAATGAAAGCCCCTTCTCACTTTTAGTCGTAATTTTTGTTAAAATTTTCGGTATTTGAGGCCCTACGTGCATGCTGGTGAAAGTTTAAGTAAGCAAATAAGGATTGATAATGCGGGTGTGAACGTGATGGATCCGATAAAATAGCAGTCGAGTCTTTTAGCGATGAAGTGTTGATTTGAGCGGGGAGTGAAATGGTATAAAATGAGCTGAACGGAAGCAATATTAAGCAGTCGAGTGGGTCGGTTTAGGCAGCGCGTGGAGCATGTGAGCGGCAAACGCGAAGTGCCACCCCGTTCGTCCACGCGGAGCGCTTCTGTCGCTCTGTAGCGACGACGCCGCGCGGAGCTTTGGCCCAGCTCAGTGACGCGCTGGCTCTCGGCTCGGAAGCTTGGTCATTGGGCGCACGCAGAGCAGAAGCGAGCTTGCGCGAGAAGGAGGCAACGGGGGCAGGCGAGGAGCAAGAAAGTGAGAGCGGAAGAGCGAGAGAGCGGCTGGGCTGCCCGACTGGCCCGTGCGCGCAGCGCCAGCACTCTACCTAGCGCCAAATCGACCGATCCTCGGCCGCGAGCGAGCCCTGCTGCTGTTCGCTGAGCCGGGAATCCGTCGCTCGGGACGAGTAACCGCGGGGCACGTGCTTCACGAAAAACAGTGAAATCGCGATGTGAGTTTGCAGTTGGTGCCGCGGAGTATAAAGTTTCATTTTTTTTCTTTTATTTTGGTCGTTGGTGTGTTGTGCGAGTTGCGACGAGCGAAAACAGAACGGTTGGCCAAGTAAACAAGCAAGAAATAGCATAGCCCAAGGGAGTCGCAGCTCCGCATCAGAGGAAAGGTGAGAAGACAGCGACGCGCGCGCGCGCTTTCACCGACTTTGCTTTGAGCGCGCTGCAAGCTCGGGCTCGCGCACTCCGCCGCCTATTCGGCGAGGAGTGCTTAACGACAAGCAAGCGCAGCCAGCTTCTTGCGTCCTTGCGAGCGACACCCTCGCGGACAATCGTCGGCCTCGTGCCAGCGCTCGGCCGTCCGTTTTGCCGACTGTTGCGCGCCTACGGATGCGTGCACACTCGACACACCGCACCACCCGTCCCGTTCGCGTGCACGAACGCCAGCAAGCGGATAGCTGTGGCCCGGCTTTATTCCCCTTTCATCCTGTCGACGTGTTCCTAGCGCTTGTTTTTTCATTTTATTTTCCTTTCACATCTATCTTGCCCCTGTTTTTCAATACTCGCTGCTTCATATCTCACTTCTATATTCTTACTCAACGTTGCTTTTTGCATTCTTTTCCATCTAGCCTTTTTTGGACCCTTGCCGTTATTGCTATCGTTATTACTGCTATTACTTATTCTATACTCTCGGCATTTTACCTGCTGAAGGATGTTTCTATTGTTAGTTTTTTGCCGCTTCAACTACGATATCCATTTATTTCGTAGATTCTTTAATTTTGTCCGTTGTTAGGGGTGACCATTGTGTTTAATTGAAAAACCACGATAAATGCTACAGTTTGATTTACATTTATAAAGAGCACATTTATACAATTATATGATTGTGAACATTAACAAAATTGAATCGGGATTGCATTTGTATTTTTCGCGAAAAAATCAATTATCCACTGATACATTAAACTTCTCACGGAGTACAAATGTTTCGCGATTTTGTTTAATGGTACATGAAAGACCACTTACACGTATTCCCGATCAACTAATAATTCTATTTCAAAAAGTTTGCCCGTTTTTTGCTTTTGCTCGAAAGGGTACTTTTCGTGACATACTTAAATGGACTTAATTAATTCGACTAATTAATTTAAAATATTCTACGAAAAAGCTTTATCTTTTTTCTTCTTCTCAATCACTTTCATAAACTTGATCAAATTCACAGTAGCAATCTCTATCCGTCTTATTTGAATATACAAGTATTAGTTATATTATGTTTATCTCGCATCAGTTACAAATTTGATTGTAAATGTCATGTATGAATTCACTTTTGCTTAGCCATGCATTAAAGCAGTTAAAATCATTGATATATTAAAATATTTATTTGTCACAGTAGATACTATCTTTTCATGCATTCTTCAGACAAAAAGTTCATTAGAGATTAATTGTATATGTTGTGATGTTTAGAAATGTTTTGTTTTTCTGACAATGCATAGGTTCCTTTCATTGTCATTTCGAATTATTAATTTTTTATGTCTTAAATCGAAAAAGAGGAGGAAGTTATTTTCTACAATTTTATTATATGCATATGTATTGTTACGTATTTATAAAGGATATTCTCCGCAGCCGATATATTCTATAAAATCATTGCAGATTAATTGTAAGGTTGAGTCAGTTTTGCGCATCATCCATGAATTGTCGTAAAAGTGATATTTATAAGTACCGGTAAAGATCAAGTGAACGCCTTTCTTCGTACGTAATATATTCTTTTTGATTTGACATGTCTATTTTTCAACAGTAATATCATGTATATGAAAATGCTTTCTTTGTTCAGAGCATATGCATAGAAAGCTTGAATAAGTTCGTTTTTTTCATTTATTTGCTTCACTGCAGAATTATCTTCAAAAATATAATTATGTCTGGTCAAACGTATGTTAAAGGATACGGGCATGTATTTTTTCCGCGCTAACTTTTGTAATTACACATACGTATACAGCGAGTATCGTAGCTGAAAACAGCGTTGGAATTGTTTCCGTTCAACTTTTGTAATATGCAAAGCACATTAAATATTTGATATAATTATTATACAGAGAAATGAATCGCTGCTCAAAACTTATGTGGCCATAACGATTTCAGTTGGTGAAATTTCGGGCAAGTAAATAGTGTAGCAACGACAACAAAAATACTATTGTCTTAAAAAAAACGCTTTGTTAGCACTAGCACAGTTTCGTCGTGGACAGAAAGCTTTGTCAAATAAACAGAATAGCTCTGTCGGTGTGTTGCTCAGCTGATTTTCGCTGCACGGACAAAACTGATCTAATTTTTTAACAGAATCCAATAAAGTTTGACGGATTGGTTGATTCCAAATGATTTTTGAAAGTGTACCAGCAGGTTGCGCTTACAATACGATAAAATTTGAGCGCGGAAATTCCAGGCAGCTGAATTTTGATAGTGCAAAATCGGTGCTGAAGATAGGATTTGAGGCAACGATAGATTTATTAATAAACATGGTAAATGAGGCTTGGTGTAATAGAGATCGCGTAGAGGAATAAGGGGTAAAGAAGGAGCCGAGGAAGTAAATGGAGGAAATTGAAACATGAGTGAAATTTGGTTGCGCTACGAGGTTGCGGACAGCCTCTAACAAGACAAAGTTGATCGGAGTGCATGAAGCAGTAAAGCTCGTGCGGAAGAAGAGATAACGAGAGGAGGTTGAAAAGGAAAGGCACAAACGAAGAGAGAAAGAAGGAGAGAAAAGTTGCGGACAAAGCCAGGTTATTAATGATCAGGGAGAAATAGTTTGAGCGGTAAGCGCAATCTCGCCTGTCTCGCTGAAGCGGAGAAGAAGCGAAGCGAATACGCGAGATTGGGACGCGACAAGGAGGAGACACGCGAACAAACAGAGTCTGTCTCTGCCCGAAGCTCGGGCTTGGGCTCGGCTTGGGATTCGATTTCAATCGAATCACCAGATACTCCATAGCCGCGAAATCGCGTGCTCGCCCATTTTCTGTCTCTCCTAATTCCTTCTCCACCCTATAGCTCTCTCAGCTGTTCTCTATCTGGCCCTCTTCTCTTTCTCTACGTGCATCTCTCTCTCTCTCTCTCTCTCTCTCTCTCTCTCTCTCTCTCTCTGTTTCTCTTTTTTGCCTCGTTATATCGTTTCCGCGAGCGGCCTCGTCGGGCATCTCATTGCGAAACTCTTTTGCGAGTATCCGAAGAACATTCTCGCAGATTGCAGTCGCTCGCGAATGGATATTGAAACATGAAGAGAGCGGCCAGCCTAACCAGAAAACTTTTTACTTCTTGCTCAAACATTGTTTAAATCGCAGACCGCCAAACTTGCCCAGCTCGCTCGTCTCTTCCAGTGTATTATTAAGTTTAACTTTGCCGCTCTTTCCCTTCCTGCCTTGCTCACTCTCTCTCTCTCTCTCTCTCTCTCTCTCTCTCTCTCTCTCTCTCTCGTCTCCTCGGGCCCTCGGCTCGCTATTGGCAATTGAGACGCTGCTGCTGTCGTGCCTCGAGCCGCCGAAGGGAATCTGTCTTTAATCAGAGCGAAAGTCCGTGGCGCGCCTTGCTTTCGGCCGGCACTGTCCATGTCGCGGGCACCGCGTCCGTCTTCGGTGTGCGCACACTTGCCCACGCTCCATCGGATCGGATGCGCTTCCGAGCCGGATTGATTTACGAGCTCGAGCATTTGCAGTGCACTGCCAACTTGATTTCTCAGTGGAGATAGTTGTCTGCTGTCGACGTTGTCGAAGGCCCGTTAAAAATCCAGCGACCAGTGTAAAGCGCTAAAAGTAACGAGCGCTGCCTGTAGGCGTTGCTCGCTTTACTCACTTGACTCGCTCGAGCCAAGCCGTTGCCGAAGCTTCGTTGCGAAGAGGGTACGCACGGTGAGGTTTATTTTTGGCCGGGAGTGCTCCGCAAGGAGCGGCAAAGGATCGACTCGGAATCAGCGCTAAGGCCGTTTCGCGGCAAAGGAAGGTACGTCGACGCGCTAATAAAGAAGAGCGAGCGGGATATCGCCCGTGGCGGTATTTCGATCGCACGCACACCGAGGAGAAACAGTGGAGGCCGATAAGAACCGATTGTTTACCGCAAATACGAAACGAGCGCGCGGTAGGCGGCGGGCGGCGGGCGGCAGTCGGCAGGCGGCTAGCAGCGGAAAATGTCGCGCGTTACAAAATAACAAGAACGAGCGATATCAGGCGGGATAACGGGCTGGCGGCTGGCGAGCATGATCTGTTGGCTGCAGCGCGATTTATTGCGCGACTCGTTTTTATCGGCAAATTAATGCAGGCAGCCGGCTCGCGCGCACGCGCCAGCGAATTTCGTCTCTGGATTTTCAATTAAAATTTTAAACAAAGCTGCCCGCCGATACAACGAATTACGCTCGGTATTTTCATCGAGAGCGCGCTTTATACGTCGGGCCAAACTTATTCAGTGCCTCGACGCGTTAGCAGGCGATTTCGCGCGTGCATGCGCGCCGGCCGCGCTTGCGATCATAAATTTTGACTGAACACCCGGCCGCGCGCTCCGCTCCGCTCAGTTATACGAGAAGCTATGTTTGTTTTCGAAGCCGCCTCCCAGCAAGCCCTATTTACAAACTTAATGACAATTTATTCGCCTCTTCTCCCCTCCCGATCGATTCAAGTCCATTTCAATTTTAATATTCATTCGCGTCTGCATATTTACGATTAATTCTGGCCGACTTCAGCCACCACCCTATTGATTTTCCCTTCTCACCAAGCGCCTTCGAATCAGCCGATGGCCCATTCGTTAAACAGATCCAGTTTCTCGGTCCGCCTTGCTCGCTGAAGCGACAAGCATCGACAATCGTAAACAAGCTTATCAGGTAGTCGAGAAAAGTTGTGCTTTGCGCTCGCGTCCCTTCGTCCAATCGGCGAGGCAAGCCTCGTCCGGTCTTTCGATCCGAGCTGTCCGATCGCTTCTATGCGAGAACCGAGAACTTGACGCAAATTCAATGACACCGCCGCGCCTACGGACAAGCGAACGAGAGTGTCGACAAGGACCAGAGCAGTAAGTATTGCGGGCGTACGCAGCTATTCGGATAACGAGAACGAGAGAGCACAACTTTGGCTGGAGCCCCCACGCGGAAATTAATTTTGCACGCGAGAACGATTACTTTTGCGGGCCGACGCGACTCGGGCGGGGTCCTCTGCCGCACGGCGATCTTAATATACAGGCGTTTCGCCGCGCTCTTCCTCTTCCTCTTCTTCAACTTTTCCGCCCGTGGCGCTATAATTTAATGTTTTATTCCAGTGACGCATCTCTTGGCCATTTCTTACCTCTCCAAGCGACGGCCGCTTTTGCTTTTCTAATTAATGCCATTCAAACGGATTTTCATTAGCCAAGCGGCGGCCGGCCTTGAATATCCACGCCGTCCAAGCCGCCGGAAAACGACCTAACGAATAAATAATAAATCAACTGCAGATTCGAACGCAGCAGCTGTTGTTGTATCGAAAAAGCATGGAACGGCAGCAGCGCGACAAATGACGAGGGCAGCGTTGTGTACTGTACATTAAATCAGAGGACGAATAGAGAGAGGCAGAGCTGGCTGCGGGTAGTATGCTGTAATGGAATCGTAGCAAACAGTAAACTCATTATTCACGGGCGGCAAACAAAATTAAGAAATTTTCGGGATAATTGATTGCTCAATTGCAGCCAGAAGGCCGTAGGTGTGGGTATCGGATGGGTGGCTTTGGCAGCGAGTATGGAGGAAAACCTCCCGAGGGAAAGACTGACGGCAGCGCGGCCGCGAGCAAGGCTCTGTTGACCGCGAGCAAACTGGCGGAGCCGACAAATCCAAGGCGCCAAACTAGAATTCGTAGCTCGGGGGTGCGCGTCCCAAGGCGTCTCGAGTTTCCGCGAAAAAGCGAGCGCCTCCTCGAGCTGCCAGGCGTCAATCCAGCTGCCCCCCGATCGCGCCGCTTCGCAGCGATTAGCCTGGCGCCGCTGCGTTCCGCCTTCTCGCGCCACTACGAAACGACACAGTAAAGTGCTCGATGTGTTGCAGATGCTGAGCCCGAACGCCGAGTACAGAGTAGGAGGGCAATGGGGACCAGTGCTGCTGCTAATGCTCTTACTGAGCTTCTCGCAGTTGATGCAGCCGAGCGAGGCGCAATGCGGCCCGCTTTCCGCTGATCAGACCAGGCAGTCCAAGTTGGCCATGTACAAGGTGACCCTACGAACGTACTGGTCGAGAGCCCGCTTTCCCAGACACTACCCCGAGTGGAGGCCACCTGCGCAGTTCGGCAAATTAGTTGGTAAGCTTTCCGAACTAACTTGCGAGCGCTCCTCGTCACTGCGTCCCTTCGTTGCAGTGTATCGCCTTCCGACATCGATACTCTCTTAGCCGCGGCTTTCGCGCGCGCACGCCGATCCCGCTGCTCTCGAATCGAGTCGCGTCGCACGAACGTGTACTTGCCTCGACTGACCAGACGCTCACCTTTCGCGAACATGTATTTCCGTGGCGCACGCGGCGCCGCTTATTTTTAAACGCGGCTCGCCCAGAGGCGCGCGCTTGCCGCCAAATTTACCCGTTGCTCGGATGCGCGCGGACTACTCGTTCGGCTTGCAACGGGCCCACACTCGCGCCAAGTCGGGGGACAAACGAAGTGTAATTGAATCGGCTGTAACGAGGCGTCGGCCGCTCTGACTGAGCAGCAGCTACGTTCACAGCTGGTTATTCGTCGCGTTAGCGTCAGCGAATTTTCGTTGCTACAGAAAGTCGGAGGACTTGTCAGCGCCAGCGGCGGTGCGCAGTGTACGTCGATGAAATTCCGCTACATGTTCATCTGCGGGCCAATGTAGGTCGAAGGCGAACTTATTGGCGTAAAAAGCTGTAAAAAGCCTGACGTAAAACCGCCAAAATCACGAAAGCGCTTGGATGAGGAGAGCCGGGCTGGGGAGGGAGGAAGCGGGCAAAAGTAAATCGCGGAGCTTTTCAATAAGTGAGAGAGATAGCGCATGGTGCATGCGAGGCTTGGAAAAAGAGGAGAAGCGACTGGCACACGCGCGGATTTGTAACGCGAAAATTTCAATCTCGTGCGCTCCGTTGACCTACTCGCTTCTCTCTCTCTCTCTCTCTCTCTCTCTCTCGTCACTTTCCGGCCCATGCATATGCATCAGCTAAGCATGACTATCGCGTCCGATTCTCGTATCGGCAATCGCGCTCGTGTAGCTCGCGCACATGTGTTGGCGAGTGTGCTACAGAAGCTGGAGATGTCGTCGCCGTTGTCGGCGGGAGCACGTATATAGATGGCACACACAGCCGTGCCACAGCAGTTATAAACCAAGCGGGACGTCGCGAGCAAACGAGCGGAAGAGAGCACACGGATCCGCCGCGCTATTTTCTACCGGAAAGTCTACAATCTAAGGTCGGCTAGACTTTCCAGAACTTTATTCCGCGACTTCCTCCCGCGCTATTTTAAAAACAATTCTAGCGGTCTCTCGAGTCGAACCACGAACGTCCTCTCGCCAACTAATGAGCTTGTAAATATAGGCGCCCGCAAGAAAAACCTAATGATATTGCTGCTCTGCTGTGTGGAAATAGCGCGAGCGCGCGATTCTTCAGACTGCACTATGATCATTTCACTGGCGACCGAGCGTCAAATCAGGCGCGCAGCAGCCTGCATACAAGAGAGGGACCACGAAAATTCTTCAGTTCTTCGGAGACAGCATTTTTACCGATGGCAAAAGTGCAGCCTCGCGAAAAGCTAATTGCGTTTATGTCGGTGGCGAATCGTCGAGTTTCATCCAAGAACCAAAGTTGCACGCCAAGTCCTCCTTATTCAATATTAGGATTAGGGCGAGCCAATACAAAGACAACTGTAATGTTTCCGAAGCGCAATCAAACACATCGAATCTTGTTGCCGATTACTCCTTCGGTGCAAAGCAACTGCTGAAGTGCGCCGAGAGAGAGAGAGAGAGAGAGAGGAAGAGAGAGAGAGAGAGAGAGAGAAATGCACGCGGGAACGCATCCATTCAATCCAGAAATAGGCGAGCCAAGTCAAACTCCGAACCAATATAAGAGTGAGTCGAGTGCTTGTGGTCTACGGCGGCTAGAGATAGCAAAAGGAGTTGATTTGGAGTAACCGACATGCACCGCGTCTTAGTAGCTTAACTGCGCCTCCTTTCGTTCGATCTTTGGCCTTTTCGCTGTGTGGGAGGTCAGATTTCAGAGGGAGAGAGCGAGTGGCGGCTGCGGCAGAGCCAACAAAACAGACGGAACGCGCTGCGCCAGAAAATAGCAGCCTCGGAGACAGTTTGATCGCGGCGCGCGCTCGCGCACAAGACATATAGAGGGGGCAGGCAACCCGAGTTTATTATTAGATACGCGTCGACATATAACTCAAGCACTCTCTTCTCCGCTCTCTTTCTCACGTCCACCGGAATTTTCCTTCATTCCTCTTCGCGCCTGGCTTCTCCTCTCGTACGCTTTAATGTTAGCCTCGCCCCCATACCTATATAAATTGTCCATTTTTCCTCTTTATCAAAAAATTTGCTTGCACAAACTTGAGAATGAGCTGGCTGTAGCAGTGCTCCGGACACTTGATATCGGTTACAGCTTTGAGAACAATTTATACCGTATTACTTTGGCCTAGCTTTCCTGGGGCTTTTCCTGGCCTTCGTCCCTCCTCGACAACGCTGGTCTACCCTTTTCACGCACTTTTTTCAAATGTCCCTCGACTAATAAACGCAAAGCTCGATTTCGCCGTGAATCAAACGCTGAAATGGATCACCCTTTGTGGATTAATGGTTACAGCGAATTGGCAATGCAAAAGAAAAATGCTAAAAGCAGCGAGCCTGTTAAAAAAGAATTGTCTGACCCGGAGCGCGGGCTCACTATTAAATCATCAGGAAAATAACAGAGAGGCGAGGCGCTGTCAGTTGGAGTGGCGTTCGCGATTCATCGACAAAAGCGCGCTGGTTTGTGTCGCGGCCTCTTTTTTCTTGTTTCTTTTGCGAAATTGGAGCGCGCCCGCGCTTGCTCTCTTAGAAATGCGTTTTCGACGAATTTCCTCGCGAGCTTTCGGGCTCGCGGACGGCGAGCGAGCATCCGCCTTTACGACATAACGAGGCGGCGGCGGCGGCGGCGGCGGCAGTCGTCCTCCCCGTTCCGCCGCCCCTTCTCTTTAACTCGACTTGAGACTGCTTCACTTCCGGCATCCATTCGCCAGAGCACATTTATTAGGGTCTAGAATAGCTCGTTAGAATCCTAACGGCCAACTCTGCAGGCATCCTAGAACGAATATCCTCCTCCTCTTCTCTTTGACTCTCTTTATTTTGGCCGATTTCTGGCCGCCTCGGCTTCCACGCGACAAAGATGAAAATGAACCGTGCGCTGCGCCAGCAACAACAAGGCAAGGCTGCAGCCGATGCTGTTGCACGACGTACGGGCCAGCGACTTGGGATGACGGAAGAATGACATGGATACAGAGAGACAGAGCGAGGCGAGCCCTGGCTCTTGGCGCGCGCTCGCGCACTGCCCGGACTTTCCTTTCTGAAATCCGCGAAGCTGCACAACTGTTTACAAAGTGCGCACTGCAGCCTATCCGCGCGCACAGCTACATGACCGCGAGCTTTTCTGTTTTCTCTGCTCTCCACTTTCCTCCCTCGACCCCTCCAAGTCCCTTCCTCTCGAGCTTCGGTTTTTCCCTCGCCGACTTTTTCCACTCCGAATTAAATGTAGATCTGCTTGCAAGCTGCCTCTCTTCCGCTTCACGGCCAACACCTGCTCTTCCAGCACGCTCTTCAATTGGATCAGCTTCAATCACAATCCCGATTCAGAGAATAAAGTGGCTCGCAGTGTAGTCGGGCGCAAGTAGCTCTGCCAGTGAAAAGCTGATCAGCAAGCTGATGGCGTCGCCTGCAGCGGACAAAGAGAGGGCTGAGAAGCCGCAGCTGCAAAGCACAACTTGGCCGGAACGTCGTTAATAATGAGGGCCGGCTGCGCCTGGCCGAAATCTGGTATTCATAATCTTTGCACGCAAACAACATTGAGCCGCGCGAGAGCACCCAGCGAGTTTGCGCCAAGTAAAACTTGGGCCTAATTAAAACGAGGAAAAACTTTGGCCAGTTGCGTAAATAAAGGGGAAAAAAGTGCAAAAGCCTCAGCTATTCTTTTGAGGGAATGCGCGCAGAGCGGAGCAGTGCTCTGGCCTCTCGGCTGCCTCCTCCCGCGGCCCTCAGCGCGAAATTCACTATAAATTTCGTTCCCTTTTCCGCTTCTTCTCCTTCCCGTTCGCCTCCTTGCTCTGTTCTTTTTGCTCCTTCTTTCTCTCTGCCTCGGCTTTTCTTCGTTTTTTTTTCAATAAGAGGCCAACTTCTGGCGAAAGATACAATCTGGCGAGCGGGAGGTCGGGCGCTGGATTGTGCTGCCTTGGTGCTCGCTGCTCGCGCAGCCGGCAGAGAGAAAGCAAGGGCGAACAAGTGTCGCGCGTACAGCTCGCTCGTTAAGATTCCTCGGCAAATCTCGGGGGGCTAAGCTTGGCAGACTTGCAACCTAATTTGCATTCGTAAGAAGCGAAGGCTACGCCTGAAAACAGCCAAAGCGACTAGATCTGCACATGAGCGGCGCCGCCCCGGCCCGGCTGGCCTTCGGCCCTGCCGGCAGACCGCCGACTCGATTAACAGTATTTTCACGATAAAAGCAAGAGGGAAATCGACGCGCGGCTACGAAATGATTAATAAGCCAGAGAAATGGTGGCAATATCTGGCGATATGATTGGTTGGAATGGCAATAGCGACAGCAATAGCAGTAGCAGCAATAGTAGCAGCGGCGGCGGCAGCAGCAGCAGTAGCAGCTTGTCGCGCCACAAAAGTGAAACGCAGCCGCGAACAGCAGAAGGGGCGGGCGATCGTTAACTTTCCTTATACACGCTGGCGCGGGATCTCCTTTCTCGTTCTTCATTCTCGATTTTATTACTTTGGCCGGGCCAAAGCGAAACAAAGAAAGAAAGTAATGGCATCCCCCGTGTGCTCGGCTACGCGGCTACGTGCCGTGCTTCCTGTTCTGCTTGTCGCGCGACAGCGCGCCCGAACGTGGCGAGCTTTCCCGATTTTTCCCACCTCGAAAGCGCCAAAGCGCCGAAGCGCCGAAGCGCCGAAGCGCCGAAGCGACGCTCTTGCAATTTAGCCAAACCGCCGAAGCTTTAATTAACCATCTTGGCCTCCTCCAGCGAAACGCCGGAATAACGTTGCACCTTGGGCCAGGCGAGAAGCCGACGAACAAGGGCCAACGCAGCTGGAGAATGCTTCGGGC